CACCAAAACCGCCCCTTATTTTCACTTGCTTGGCTGGTCCGTTCAAATTATTCATATTTGATGTCAAATGACAGACGTACTTGGAGACTGAACAATAACACCGACACCATTTGCTGCGCTCTTTACCACGGATTCTGTTTGCCACACCCCTGGCCTATTAGTTTTCTGTTTTTCATAAATGTATACAGCTTGTAGGTAACAGTGGTGTGGTGTGATGGTACTTTCCAGATTACCCTAGCACATGTCATACGCTTAGCTTTTCACTTGTGATATTATATAATAAAACCAGCTAATTTACAGATATTCCACATAAATTGAAATCAACTTTAAAAGTAAATACTGTTACATATAAATATAATTTTAACATTTAAAAAAATTTAAGTTAGGGACATGAAACATAATCTTAAATAATCCCACGTTAAGCTAAGAAGTAAAAAAGGATAATCAAATGTACTAAGAATAGCAGAGCAATATGTAAAAAGTTAGGTTAAAAGGCCCGAAAGGTCAATTTTGTTGGCCTTTAAAGTTCTAACCGTTCTAACTTTATATATGTATTTTGAGTGAACGATGGAGCTTTCTTATATTCAATTTTTTTTCACTCATCTCCCAATTAAATACAGAGGCACTAGTCTATGTATTAAGGCCCATTGATGATTCAAGTACTTTTTATTTCCAATACAGATTGATTAGTTATTTTTGAGCTTACCACACGTTGCTTCTAGAATATCGTCCAAATGTTCAGATAGGTCGTCATAGTCAGGGTACAGAAGCACTTTTCCATTCTTTCCTGCAATCACTGACATTTCCTCCTTTTCTTTGAAAACTCTATTACCGACTCCAACGACAACTATGCTTACACCTTTGCTCTGTGTAAAAACAAGAGAATGAAACCTTATCCAGGTCACAAACTACAAGGCCCTTATTTACGATTCGTGCTTAAGTTACAATCTTCACAAATCTTCAGGATACTTTCTCACAAATCCAAAAGAAAGTTTACAAAGTTTCGTTCAAAA